CTAAGGGCCTGGCCAGGAGGGCAGAACTTCAGGCCTTCTGACAGTGAAGAGAGAGGAAGCCAGCCCTTCCTGCATATGGTGATGGAATGAATGCAGGAGGTGTGGGCAGCCGGGAGAGCTAGAGGCTTCCTAAGCCTGTCCCTCCAAGGGAAATGCGGTTCTGCTTCTCTGGAAGCCCAGGAGTGGGGAGGTGGGTGGGGGTGGGGGGTCAAAATGTGCACGGGTGCAGGCGCCACTGCAGCTGCTGAGATAGACTGAAGTTCATGGACGCTCCTAGTGACAGATGAAGTGGAAGCCCAACTCTTCACCTGCTTCCTTTTAATGCCCTCAACTTCTCCCTCAGAAAACTGGATGTGTTGAGTGTTTCCTTGCTGTCCTATGCAAAACATCCTGCTGACAGAGACCATGTTTCCCATTAGGGTTGGGATCCGTTCATAAGAATGTCATTCGTTAGGGGGCAAGTGCCACCGTGAACTGAGCCTAATGCTTACTGAGCAGGTCCTCTACCACTTGAGCTGAGCTTTTTACTTTAGTCATTTTTCAGGTAGAGTCTTGTGTGCTAGCGCTCTACCACTTTGAGCCACAGTTCTACTTCTGGTTTTTTGAGTGGTTAATTGGAGATAAGAGTCTGACAGATTTTCCTGCACTGGCTGGCAGATCTCAGTCTCCTGAGTAGCTACTGGCATGAGCCACCAGTGCCTGACCAGACAATTGCATTTGAGTCCTTGAAGAGTCCTTTACTTTAACTCAGTTTGGGGGGATTTTTGAAGTTTTCTTGAGCAGTCATTCTTTGGATTACTTTTTTTTTTCTTTTGGTCAGTCATGGGGCTTGAACTCAGGGCCTGGGCACTTTCCCTGAGCTTATTCACTCAAGGCTAGTGCTCTGCCACTTTGAGCCACAGCTTCACTTCTGGTTTTCTGGTGGTTAATTGGAGATAAGAATATCATGGCCTTTCCTACCTACGCTGGCTTCGAACTGTGATTCTCAGATCTCAGCCTCCTGTGTAGCTAGGATTAAAGGTGTGAGCCACCTACCCCTGGTGCAGTCATTCTTTTTAAATAAATTTTAGTCACCCATCAGGGTCAGAGGTATGACTCAGGCTGCCCATCTGGGAATGTACTTGCCTGAGCACCCAAAATTCGGCTGACTTTAAAAGACTCGCTCATGCTAAAGAACTTGCAAAGCTGATTGACTTAAGACTACAGATTAATAATGACAAGGAGAGATGTCAAGTAGCTGAGATGCTTTGGTCAGCTGGTCATAGTGTTTTGTTTCTGTAGTGGGATCTGTCCTGGAAGCCGGATTACTTTAGGTTGCTTGTGAATCATGGCAAACAGATGAGCAAGTGGCCGGTGAGTTCTGACTATTGGGGAATGCATGCCTAGCAGATCAGGCAGCCGGGTTGACTGATCTGGGTACCCAGACTTTCTGGACACACATTGGGAAATCTGGCTGTTGGGTTCTGGATTTTCTAGGCTTCTTACTGAATGGCATAGTGGTGTGTATACAGAGTGGGGATGAATTCAATACCTGGTTCTGTGTTTGTCAGGTCCTTTCAATATCTTCTGTCTTACTGTCTTTGTGTTTTGTTCATCCTACTTAAAATTTTTTTAAAACAATTATTTTATTTTTTGTCGATTGTGGGTCTTGAACTCTGGGCCTGGGCACTGTCCCTCTTGAGCTCTTCAGCTCAAGGTGAGCGCTCTACCACTTGAGCCACAGTGCCACTTCTGGGTTTTTCTGCTTATGTGGTGCTGAGGAATCAAACCCAGGGCCTCATGCATGCAAGGCAAGCGCTCTATCACTGAGCCACCTTCCCAGCCCCCCTACTTAAAAACAAAAAACAAAAAACCCTTATTTTTAGGTTCTTTACATGTAAACTAGGGATAATAATAACAATAATATCTATCTCATAGAAGAATAAATGAGTTAGTATCTGTGAAGTACCTAAAAAAATGCTATATCTAGAATATAGTCTCCCCTTTCCTCCCCTCCTCTCATGTTGAGTACTGTCCCTGAGCTTTTATGCTCAAGGCTAGTCCTCTACATTTGAACCACAGCTTTACTTCTGGCTTTTTGGTGGTTAATTGGAGATAAGAATCTCAAGGACTTCCCTATCAGGGCTGGCTTTGAACCTGGATCCTCAGATCTCATCTTCCTGAGTTGCTAAGGTTATAGTCATGAACCATGGGCACCTATCCTTTCTGTTAGTAAAAAATTTCTTGTTATTATAAAGGTGATGTACAGAGGGGTTACAGTTACATAAGTCAGGTAGTGAGTACATTGCTTTTTGGACAGTGTCACTCCTTCCCTCGCTCTCTCCCTGTTCTTCCCTCCAGTCCCTAACCACAAATGGTTCAGTTCATTTTCAACAGAGTGTCCTGTGAGTACCACTGCTTCATGTGTCCACGCTTTGTCCTTCCATTTCTATGCCTCCCCTTACACTCCCAAAGACAGGACAAAAACAAACAGGACAAAAAGAAAAGAAAACAAAAACAGCAAAAAAGAAAAAAAAACCCTCTTCTTTCTGTTATTCTCAATGATGTAATTATTAGTATTATTTATCAGGCAATAAACTTACACAGAAAAGTGATTTATTTGACTGTCCACATAGTTGCTTCTCATTGTCTTCAATAGTTCTCCACCCTAAAGTTCCCATGGATACCACATCAGTGACTGCAGCACTTCTGCACAGATACAGGTGAACATTCCTGAAAGCCACTGGTCCAAACATTTTTTGTCAGTCATCAACTCATAACCCTGTATTATGGATACTCTGTCTAGACATCCTGCTTAGGACATATTGCTTACAAATAATTCTAGCTTGCAAATAATTATACATTTCTTTAAATACAAGTTGAGAAAAGTTGGTGTTTTATTTCTGCCCCTGGGTGATGAGATAGGAAATGTGTCTGGCTTTTACCACACATTCTTGCTGTACCCTGGGCTTTTACATTTTCCTGTAGGGCGTCATCGCTTGAGGCCATCTGTCTAGATGCTCTTCTATCTTTCCTATGTGTTCGTTATGCATTCCACATTTGCCACTTTCTAGGGTGGCTTCATGGCAGGCATATATCCTCTTCCTTTTTAAAGACATATCCTGATCTTGATTCATTAACATTGAACTCACAGCTAGCACCATAACTTCTGCATGAAGAGAATTGATCTAACATATTATTTCTTTGTAAGGTGCAGCCTTCTTGCAATGCAGGAGTTTTAAGCAGCATTTCAGCTCTATGCTTAGGGCCATTTCAAAGAGCAAAATCACCAACGGAAAAGGCACATACACACGTGTACACACAAATGCAACGGGTGACATTAAGGAGGCCACAAAGTCATATTTGTTCACAAGGGAGTGTGAAACAGGAGAGCAGAGCATCGGTGTGTTCGCCTTTAAGCCAGAAGACGGCAGGTAGGGTGACTCCAATTTCTAGTCTCTCTAGTCATGTGACCAAAAAAAAGTGCTCTCAAACTATGGATTATTTCAGGAATGGGGCAAATTTACAAGCATGGAATACAGCAGTCATGAAGATCAGCTGTGCGTAGAGCAAGCAAAGATGGTGGTGCTGGCAGTAGGCAAGCCCAGGGAACGCTCCGGGGCTCTGTGCTCCCATCTGGGTCTCTGAGTGGAGGCCACATGGTCTTTACTGGTCTCCACTTGGCACAGAAACGAGCTCCTCAGCCTCAATTGTCTTCCAGAGCCCACAGAACCCCTTGTTCCTATTCATTTGGGAAGTTGCACTTGCTGCTAGGTAAGGAGGGACTTGGGAAGAGGTTTGGGCAGGAAAAGCTACTAGAGATCTTGAATTGGAGGAGTTTAAAAGAAGTAGAACTGGGAACAAGGGATCATATTCGCATGCAGCTTTCTTATACATTGAGTGTGTTTTGAGATTCAGTTAAACAGGAAGACAGGCTGTAAGGTGTGTTGCACAGTGTGGTGACTCTAATAATCATGATAGCTGAGTACAGTCACAGTCAGCTCCCCAGATCTGTGGGTTCTGTATTTGCAAAATTTAACCTACCAGGGAGTGAAAATATTGGAAGAATATGAATGTGTATGTACTGGTATATATAGACCTTTTCCCTGAGCAGTGTAGAGCAATAACTTATTTGTAAAACATTACACTACATTAAGGATAAATAATGTGGAGATGATTTAAATTATTTTAGGAGGTTTTCTTAAGTTATAAGCAAACATTGCATCATTATATTATATCTTCGTGTGTGTGCATGTGTGTACCAATCCCTCCTAGATACCAAATGGTGACTGTGTTTCAAAGTTGCTGAGGAACTGAGATTCTGATGTTCTTAACTACAAAAAAACAGATAAGTGAGATGATGGCTACATTAATTGGCTTGCTTAATTATCCCGTGATATAGCAAAGTACCACACTTTAACCCACACATAGATAGAATTTTTGCTAATCAAACGTTTTAAATGTGCTTTAGTCAGGGTCTTCTCCCTTTCCCTCCAACTTAAAAACAATTAGTAGTATTCTATTGTTTCAGTAGTCTATAATCAGTTTCTCTTTGCTCCTGCCATCTTTGAGCTGCAGTCATTGTGTAGACAGAGTAATGGCTTCTTAACTACTTAGCTACCCCTGTAGCTCACCCCACCCCCACCCCTTTCTTGTGATCATGAACCTCAGAGCTCATGTTCTCTCTTGGCTTTTCACTTAAGGCTGGTTCCCTGGCTCTTGAGCCACAGCTCCACTTCGAGAACAGAATAGCACACTGACTGATGAATAGTGCCATATAATGTTGCTTATGTAGTTATCTGTAGGAGGGAGGAAAGACATCATGAAAAATTAAAATGAAGAAAGGAATTAGCATGGGTAATAGCAGTTGAGCACATTGGGGAATTAATTAGGAACACATTATGTGTTTTATCCTTATTCCACGCCCTGCCATTTCCCTTTTAACTCCCCCTACCTTACCGTTCTTCCAGAGCAATTTTTTAATGTTTGTATTAAACTTTCTCCCCCAAACTCTCTTCTAGGCTACATGACTCCCTGAAGGAGACGAACAATGTTATGTTGGGGCTATTGGTCTCTGGGCCAACCAGGAATCGGCACGAACCTGCAAAGAATTGTGGCTGAGCCACAGGTGTGCGGATTTGTATCAGACAGAAGCGTCAAGGAAGTGGCCTGTGGAGGAAACCACTCCGTGTTCCTGCTGGAGGACGGGGAGGTCTACACGTGCGGCCTGAACACCAAGGGCCAGCTGGGCCACGAGAGGGAAGGCAACAAGCCAGGTGAGGACTGGCGTGCACCTGCTCTGCCATGATCAACACAGCCATGTGAGGGGCCGTGGCAGAGCAGGCATTTGTCTACCATTGGGAACCCTGGTGTCTACTTTGACCCTTCTGACAGGAAAAGAGATCTGTCCTGTAACCTATTTGATATCAGTTACCAGGAAAGAGGAGGTGACTAGTTAGTGAATGTACCCCCAGTAATCAATATAGTTTTGCGAATAAGTAATGCCAGAAGTTTTTGTTCTCCCCTAATTGTCTAATTTGGTTTCTGCCACCTGGCAGGGTGAAGCGTTTGATGCCAAGTACTGGGCTGGGTCTTGTGATTAGGAAGATGAGGTGGCTCCAGAGGTGACGAGTCCTGCCATGGAAGTGTGCATGTGGTCAGCTGGAGTAGAGGGAGAGGAGGGTAGAGTAGGCGTGTGTATGGGGGGAGAGAGAGAGAGGACAGAGGGAGGGAGGAAGGGAGGATGAATGTGGCAGGAACACCAAGAGACAGCATGCTGGGTATGGCAGTGGTGTGATTATAGATATAGAGGTGCACGATTTGGCCAGAGCGTGTTGATTTGTGTGGAGAGGCTGGTAGTTCAAGGGTGGAAGAAGCTGACATGGGGGCTCCCCAGTTTTCTTAGTGCTTTCCATTTACTTACGATAGCTGGTGTACATGAAGTCTGTTGCTTTGAATTCCCCCCCCCCCTATTTTATTTTGAAAGACTGTGCGTGTAGCTAGGATTTATGAGATCGTCTCCTCGTGGGGACAATAGGGTCTTACTTTGTGCCATGACTTGTCACATTTGCATGTATGCCATTTTCTTTGGGACCTGCTGTCCTTCTCATTTATTCCACATCAAGCCTAGACACTGAAGCTTCCTTGAAGAAACAGCCTTAGCTGGGCATGGTGGTACATGCATGTAATCCTAGCGGTCAGGAGGCTGAGCAGGGGATCGAGAGTTCCAGCCTGATCTGGAGTACATAGTAAGAGCTCATCTAAAGCAGCCACCACCACCAATAAAAGCAGCCTTTTGTTGCTGCTTTTGCTCATGTGTGTTTATTTAGGTAATAACTTTGGCTTTTGGGCGAGCCAGTTTTCTTCAGTGACAGTAGTTTCCCTCTTTTAGTAAGTGATTTTTGCTTCACAATTTCCCTGCTCAAATGTCACTTTGTTTGTAGTCATTACTTTTTACGCGGGCCACTGGTCAGAAGCAAAATGGCAGATAATGAGGAATGTGCCTGGGGGACTCCCACTTCCTCATTTGCTGTTTCTGGTTTCCAACTCCCAGATGCCCACCAGGTCAGCTCGGGGGAGCAATACCAGTGGACTAGCCAGGGCTCTCCTAAAACGCAGGCCCCAGCCCTTGGCACGTCAAAGAAGGGCTTGTTGAATCATCTGTGGACCCGTACCTTGCATGGACAGCTTGCCTAACTCTACTGGATCTCAGATGATCCTGCCGTTCCGTAGCAGAAATCCAGATAAGAGAGCCGCTCCTTCATAAATTAGTAAATCATCCTTATTATATATCTTACCAACCACTGTAATACAAAATATACTATATAGTTATCCCCGAGGAGGCTGCAAAACTTACAAATTATCTTTGTATTGGAAAATACTAAAAAAGGAAAGTCTTCTTTCCCACTTCCCATTAAACTCACTTGTCTCACATTAAACTCTTAATAGACTCTGTCCTAGAGCCTGGAATATTTACATTTAAATAGAAATTAGACACCTAGGCTCCCTTCACTTCAGTAATTTTTTTTTTTTTTGGGTCAGTTGTAGGGTTTGAACTCAGCCTTGAGCTTCCTAAGCAGGTGCTCTTACCACTGAGCCATGCTTCTGGTTTATGCTCACTATTTTTGAGGTAGGGTCTTCCTTCCTGCCTGGGTGCAAGGCTGTGCTAGGCTGTCCAGTAGCTAGGATAACAAGCCCAGGCCACAGTGTCTATCTAGTTCTTCATTGAGAAAGGGTCTCAAGGACTTTTATCTGTCTGGATTGGCCTCAAACCCTGTCCTTCCCAACCTCAGCCTCCCAAGTAGGATTTCAGGCATGAATCACCAGTGCCTGGCTGGCTACGCTGGTGATTCTTGAAGGACTTGTGCTTGGCCTAGCTAGCCTTTGAGGGAAGTAGTTTGAGAACAGGGAGGAGATCTCTCAAGTATTCTGGAACATAAAAGTTAGGGTGAGCTCTGGAGTCAGCCAGTTTGTCCTGCAGTGGGAACTGATTCAAATGTGTACTGTCACGGCGGAGATAGTCTAGGCAGCTATTGAAGGTAGTGTGTGGCAGCCCGATCTTGTGCCTCACAAATCACACCTGGTGGAGAGCTCTGTGCCGTGGCTGTGGTTGTGGTGAAAGGAAGGGCACCTGGGCTAAGAGTTTGGAAACAAGTGTCCGTCCCTTTCCACCAGGAAATAACAGCGTGGTCCAGGGCACGCCTCTTCCCAGTTCTGATCTCAGTTCCCTTACACAAAAAAGGAGGAGACTTCCTGTTCAGATATGGTGGCTGAGTGACAGATTCAAATGATAAAGGAGACTCCACGAAGTTACCTGCGACCTAGAGCCTGCCCCTCATTCTTGATCTGTTCTCTGCCTTCTGCCCTGCAGCCTCGCTGCCTGGTGTTCAGACAGGCCTCAATGAACTCTTTGTCCTAGAACCTGGGTGACAGTGGCAGGTGAGGAAGTAAGCTGAAACCCTGAAGTCCAACAGTAGCAAATTCCGGGGTGAGTTCATCTGGGTGCATTGAGATATTTCTCCAGTGGAGCCTTTGACCCAGCTCCATGGAGCTGAGGGAAAGCCGGGGGAGCCTGTGGGCCCTGGCTGCCTGCATGCTGGGCCCCTTCTGCTCGCTCAGTCCCTCCTGAAGTTGGTCATCTTCAGTTGCTCTTGCAGCAAGGCTGTCAGCAAGAGACTTCAGCCAGAAAGTGCCATGCAGGCTTTTAGGTTCATCCCAGAAATCCAGCTCTTTATGATCTGACTTGGAATAAACCCAGATACTTGTGTCAATTGCAACAGATTCTAGAAATTTCTGGTTAAGATTATCCGCCAGGGTGGAATAGTGTCTCTTGGAATGGGAAGGTTATGTGAGTGTGTGTGCCTGGGCGCCACCCTCTCTCCAGCGTTTTCATGGGTAGGTGTGCTCTCAATCGGGGAACCACGTGGGTTTATTTCTTTCTATTTTATTTTATTTTTGTGTGCTGGTCCTAGGGTTTGAACCTGGGCCTGGCCACTGTCCTTGAGCTTTTTACTGCCCAAGGCTAGTGCTCTACCACTTGAGCCACAGCTCTATTTCCAGCTTTTTGGTGGTTAATTGGATATAAAGAATCTTACAGACTTTCCTGCCCCGGCTGGCTTCGAACAGAGATCTTCAGATCATTGCCTCCTGAGTAGCTAGGATTACAAGCGTGAACTACCAGCATCTGGCCCATGTGGATTTATTTTTAATGAGTGAGAAAAAGAGAATGGGCTTGTTTTTCTTTGCATGCTTGTTGAAAGCCCTGACCATGGAGAGTTATGGGAGGCAAGTTCAGGGGCCAGGCATGGAGCTCACCTCCCATGCCCAAGGCCCTGGACTCATTCCCCCACTGGGGGTAAAAATAAAGCTCGCTGGGGGAATGCTAACCCCTTGTGTTCTACCACGTAGCTCTTGTGGCCCGGGGAGAATGCCTGCCAGATGAATGCCCTTCCCCAAGAGAAAGTGTTTCTTCTGGCAGGAGGTAGGTGTGAGATGTCAACTTGATGTTATTACCCAGATCATTTGCCTTTGAAATAGGCAGGATTTTAAAGGGGAGGTAGATGACTATTTCCGACAAAGCTTTGAGAACAGGAAGTGATTTGCACTAGTCCTGTGGTACCCCATCCCCGAGGGGCACAGGTGGTTTTAAACACAAGTGGAAAATCTCACATTTCTTCTCACTTCCCGGTATCGTCTGGGAATGGAATAATGCCTGCCCCTCAGCACCAACCCATCCTTTGAACTGTTTCTGTCAGGGCATCCAGCAGTGTGGCCTGGCTGTCCAGCACAAGCCAAGAAGACTCAGCGCTTGGCTTTAGAACTTTGTTTCCATCGGGCAAAGTAGCTCACACTTACCATTGCAGCAGAATGTGAGCCTTTCTGAAGCTTACCGAAGGCTGAGAGCCCCTCTGAGGCGGTTGCCTAGCAAGCACAAGGCTCATCCCAGCCCCTCCTGCCAAAAAGGAAAGCTGAGATTTCTTTTTGAAATGCAAATGACTCTGGGAGCCGCCGGGTCTGAGCGGTCTCTAGAGGGCACCGTGCCAGAGGTGGCCTGGAGGAAGTGTCCTCTCCCTAACAGCTCACCTTGCATCTGTTGTCCTCAGTCTACCACTTGTTGATTTGCTTTGTCTCTGGCTGGTGCAGCCACAGGCACATAGATTGACTTTTTTTTGTTGTTGTTCCAGGCCTGGGGCTTGAACTCAGGGCCTGGGCACTGTCCCAGAGCTGCTTTTGCTCAAGGCTAGCATTCTACCACTTGAGCCTCAGTGTGACTTCCGGCTTTTTCTGTGTATGTAGTACCAAAGAATGGAACCCAGGGCTTCATGCATGCTAAGCAAGCCCTCTACCACTAAGCCACCTTCCCAGCCCCACATAGATCGATTTGGGGGTGCATTCTGTGCATGTGTCAGAGCAGAGGTATTAAGCCCTCTGCAAAGATTTGAAAGTCATGAGTTTCCTTTTGCTTGTCCGTGCCTGGGAGACTGCACTGCTCAGGCTCTCCTCTCCCTATTTCATAGTTCTGCCTTCTGTGCCCTGCTTTGTATGGTAGGAAAGTGGGGCGGGGGGGGCATTTTGAGGGCCGGTCAAATATTGAAACCGCTGGTTATGTGCTCCTAGCTGTTTTCCCAGTGTGTCAGGTGGCTGAGGGTTCTAGCTTAGGCAAGTCCATGACTCATCCGTTTGTGCTTGGGCCAAGGGTAGAAGCCTGGATTCCCAGAAGCACCTACATTCAAGGTCCAGCTTTAACTAAAGCATTGGCCTGTAGTTCTTTTGCATA